ATATATATATATTGATATATGTATGTATGTTTGTATGTATGCATGTATGTATGTGTGTATTTGTATCTTTCATATGGTTTCCATAGTTAATATCGTCTATATCGAAATCTGTAGGTGCATGAATATGTATCTGTCTTTTCACGTCTAATTAAATAAGAATATTCAATTTTAATAAATACACATTATCTATTCGCAGCCAATGTGTTGTTGGGTGTTAGTATGTGATTGCACATATCTTTCATCCATGGTATACATATAGCCAAGTTTAAGTTTATTGGTACTTGGTTTCCCATCACCCGACGTAGACCCAATACAACCAAGTCATTCTTATTCAGCACTCAGTGTACCGAACAGCTATCACAACTCAACCATACTTAGAGTGCTCATACGCCTGATCCATGTATCTACAGGGGGATTTCTACAACTGGCAACGCTATTAAAGGCGCATCGACGAGAGAAGGACTGTAAGTTCATTGTGGCCGGTGATTTCCTGGGAGGCTCTGCTATGGCTGTGGCAATGCAAGGCCGGAATGTTATCGAAGTAAGGCGTGTATGCTGGTTGTAGTATATATATATATATATATGTGTGTGTACATACGAATACTGCTTAGCGTGAATTGAATAAAATTCGACACGTCTTGGTTTAGAACTTGCATAAGTCGAGGCCTGATACCACCATGCCACAATGTTGAAAGAGTCGTATATGCAAAGTACATTTCCACGTCATTTCAGTACGTAGGTAAAATATAATACGCACATAAGCAAAGCTTCATATCATGCCGCAATACAGAACACTAATTGGTGTAGCTTAGCAAGCTCAAACGTTGGGTGGTTTGTCAGGGTGGCTTGGCAGCAGTAAGTACTGCCAGTGTATGTCTGAGAACTTGTAATTCGATTCTGGACACCACCCACACACTGGCGCACCGTCCGTCTGTCAAGTTTAGCGCTCTTTTTAATTGAGTCATGCTGTCAAGTTTAGCGCTCTTTTTAATTGAGTCATGCTGTCAAATCAGGTTTGTACTGATGACTGTATTGGAATTTGGGTGCAGGTTTTGGATGCGATGGAGACGGATTATGTGGTGTTGGGGAACCACGAGTTTGACTATACCGCGGATGTAACACGTGCACTGATCAAAGAAACTAACTTCAAATGGCTGGGCTCGAACGTACGAGAAGCAGATACCGGTATGGTCCCGCTTTAGCACTGTACCTTGCATGTAGAATATCATACTATGGCGTGTGATCAAGTGGGTTTGGTGATACTACAATCGATGTCAAACGTTCATACGAACAATTCTCGTGTGCAAACAGTATCTGGTACTGGTTTACACCGGGGATTGTACATAGAGCGGTGCAATGCCTGCTATCTCCAAAGGCCTCCACCTTAGTTCGATCACAAACGGACGCACGCTCGGTTTAACGGTAGTATACGCTTTCTGTATCAATCTGTAAGGTTAATTTTAATAATAAGCTCTCTCAACCAGATGTATGTCGAATATATTCATTCACGTTCAAGGTCATGCATCCGCTCACGACCACAAACACGCCTATTCGTATACCCCCACACTTCGTCTCCATATACCTTACTTCGTATACTCTTTCTCATGAAACCGAGACACGTTGACGCCATCCACACTCCAGGCGATCTGATGGACGGTGTTACGGACACAGAGACATTCACCATCGAATGCCACGAGGTCAGGGGCCAGAACATGAGCCGAGAAGACACCAGCGGAGCGACCACAAACGTTATACTCGGCTTGTTTGGCGTGTGTACTGACTACACCGTGAAGCTATCCACGCCCGGGCCCTCGGTGGTATTCGAGGATGTGGTAGAAACAAGCAAAGTGAGTGGTACTTAGACATCGAACATGGCCCACTTTGTTGAGTAGTGAGAAGGCCACGAACAGGTTTCTTTCCAATCGTGCGTGTGTATATTGGTGTTAACCCGTACAGTATGAATGGAATGTATGAATCTCTGCACACCCCACTCCAGCGCGAAGAGCTTTGTGCGTATGGCCGATAATGCCATGTTATGTTTTGAAGCGTATATGGAAGCGAGCAGAAAAATTATTCATTAACGTATCCTAGAGTATATGCTGGAATTAACCGTGTGCATACACAGTTATGAGTATGCTTTCCCCTTAACAAGATATAGTTGCCAGATTGGTACGTTGCTACATTGGCTGCCATCTGCCATTGTGTCATCTGCCAGCAAGACATGAATGGGCTACAACAATACTTGGTATCATCTGCTAGCAAGACATTAATGAGCTACAACAATACTTTATATCAGAAATGCGTAGACCATCTCGTGGACGAGCGCAATGCGGAAGCGGTGGTGTGCATCAGCCACGTATCACTGGACACAGACAGAGAGATTGCCAAGCACGTGGGTAATCTGGACGCCATCATAGGTGAGCCATGCATACCGGATACGGCCCTTGCTGGGACATATATTGGGCTTTTGCTGGATATTTATTGTTTTTTTGCTGGATATTTATTGGGCTTCAACAAGGTCCTGGTGACCACCACTCACGGGTGTGATGTGGACGCCATTTGTTTGTGAGTACAAACTCTGCATGCCGCACTTGTTTGATCTGTTTAGGAATGTGAGGCTTCAGGGGTTTATAGGTCACCAAACACATATAGGCATCTTGGATACCACCACAGATGAACCAACCCCGCGATATTTCGCAGCTGGAACATTGGTTTAATATGCTCTCTTGTCCCATTGATATAGACAGTAAGATATGAATTAGAGGCGCAGTTTTAAATATAGTGAGAGACTCTCAAAGGCATCTCCTGTATTTTCTTGAGCTGGTTCCTAACATATGAATTTAGATATATTACATAGAAGTCGACAAATTGTACTCAGAAACCTTCGTGCAAATATATCTTTACATGCGCTTTATTAAGTACACATATCAGATAACCTGTGACATCGGCTCAGTGGCATCCGTTGGTATACAGACACACACACACTCCTTCATGCATATGTGTATATACGTAACTGTATGTCAGTGAATGAATACAGTGCTGCTTACTACACACACACGACTTCATGCATATGTGTATATACGTAACTGTATGTCCGTGAATGGATACAGTGTTGCTTACTACACACACACGACTTCATGCATATGTGTATATACATAACTGTATGTCCGTGCATGAATACATTGTTGCTTACTACTTCAATACCTCGATCTCGTACTTTGGATTCCAGGTGGCCACGATCATATGCCGTTCGGGGAATACTATGAGGATACGTTTATTTTCAAATGCGGAGAGAACGCCCACTGGTTGGGCATATTAGGTACGTAAATCCCGATCCATTTTACAATGCCTTTCACTTTAGGTCAGATGTATTGAGGGTCTGTATACCCCAGTATGTGCCGTATCGTCAGTGATACCGAGTACGATTCCATACCTATTCTGAATCTTTCTTCTTTTGTGAATTACGGCGCCTAATATCTGCAGACTTAGATGTTGTAGTGGAATACGAGGGCGGCGAGAGGACTGTGAGTGTCCTACCATCGTGGAGCATGGTAGCCAACAAAGGGTATGTGCACGTGCTATTCATATTTATACCTTCCCTCACACATGACAAAGCGTATGTGCACGTGCTATTTATACCTACCCTCACACATACGACCAGTGAAATGGGGCTAAGCAGATGTCATGAACAGGGACATTTAGGGAGTGTTCAAGACCTGTTTGCTGTGTGACACGCTCGTATTGGTAGCAGGCTGTATTACACTGATGACGGAGAATCGTCTGATAATAAAGTTTACGCTATGTACTCCCATGCCCTTCACGAGACGTGTGCGGTAGGTTTTAAACACAATTCAAGTTCACACCGTCATCTTTGTGTTTGGACTACTCAACTCCACTACGTTTTAGCTGAGATGTGCCACATCTGAAGCACAAGTGCGCTGCGAAGACGGTTCTATTCATACCATGTGTGTTACGACCTTTTGTTGTAGATACGATCTGGACCCCGGCATCGCCAAGATACACAGTAAATACACCGCTAAGTTGAGAGAAATGCGTGGGGGGGACAATATGGATGAGGTTATTTGTAAGGTAGGTGCAGGACTGACCATGCGTGTCCGTTAGAGTTAAATTCACATATGTGTGTGTGGGGGGGTTTCCGTGCCTGTTGTTGTGTAGAAAGTGTTGTGTGTGTGTAATAAGTTAGTAACGAGTGTATTTGTAGTGTGCCCAGGTGTTACTGCTACAGCTGGGAGGGTTTAGGGTTTTAAAACCCTCCCAAATATCGATGAGCTGACACGCACGCACGTGTACATTCTCAAACCTCCAGTCTAAGACTTGCGTTTAAACACTACGCGTGGCCTGAAGTGATAGCGACACCGGTCACTGCGTTGTTGTGGTGTCGTTTGATCGGTGACATGTGTGGGCTACTACATGTATAACACTGCCATTGTATTGCTAAATAAGGGCAATCCCTTATGTATTGTTAGTTGTGTGGGCAATCCCTTACATATTGTTAGTTGTGTGGGCAATCCCTTATATTTTGTTAATCGAAGCATGCACTTCACTACGCACACGGACCGTTAAAAATAGACCACGGGCTCTGTGTTAGGGGTATCATCGTAAGACGGTGGGTGGTTTTAATTATTCCCATATGCGTATGTGTACAACCTCAAAGCAAGCAAACTCCACACAGTACATCGTTATAGCTGAGCTCGAGTCATATACGTCATTAAATATTTAGTATCATACCAGCACAAGGCACCAGCACGTGATTTCCATGACCACAGCGTCATCCGTACTCACACGCTACTTGTATCCTAACAGGTAATTGGAAAGGAACTGTTGACATTCTCAGACGTTGTGAGGAGGAAAGAGGCTGCGTTCCCGGCCGTGTTGGCCGATGCCATGCACGCTCACTACAGAGACAGGGGTGCTGCGTTAGCAGTTATAAACGGTAAGAGATCAGAGTGTGATCAGGAAGGAAATGGTCACGCGAATTGGCTGCCTGAAGAGACGTGTATAGAATCGTCTTAAGTGTATGTACTGATATAGTTAGATGTTGTGGTTGTTTTGTGTATAGCCATAGTGTATAGCCATAGTCTGTGTGACAATGTTCTCACTAAGCTGACAATTGGTACAACCTCCGTGATATACAAGTGCTACCAGTCCCAACCAGTATGTATCATCAACCAACACAACATCAGACATGAGCGTGTCCGCGATAGGCAATTCCAACCTCAACCTCAACCTAATCTCATCCACACTGCAGGTGGGTTTGTACGTGGCAATCAGAGCTATCCGGTGGGTACTTCTTTTACTATGTTCCATGCGATGAACGAGATACCCTTCCCCAAGCCAGACGTGCTGATCCGAATCAAAGGCGTATACTTTCGGGAGGCGCTGGAATGCATGGTATGTATCTTAATAAGATGTTCATTCAACACCACCACCGTGTATGGATCCATATTATACGAATGTATGTTGTGCTGCGTTGTGTGTTTATATTATATTCAGATGGGACGCTTGACTTGCTCGGCACTGTAATAAGTATCTGTAGTTGTTGTATGTAGGATTAGCAGTACAACCTCGTATTGGTAAAATGAAAACAATCGAGATGATTATATGTACCTGTTATACGAGGAAGGTCGATATATCCAGTGTTCTAGAGTGAACTTAAAACAAAGCAAAACGTGCCTGCCATCTGTGACTGGTGGTTTATTGCTCTGCCACAGAAAGGACGACATACTTCTATTTCTGTATATCCATTGCCTTGTATCACGAACACGATACAAGCAATATCTGTTTCCTTCGAATTTTGACCAAACTGACCGTCATGTATTTGGGGGGATTCATTTCGGTGCCCAAATACACCCACAGTTGTCTGTATATCCCAAACCGGCTGGATTATTCCCTCATGTGTCGAGTACGGGACACGTGGTCTTTGACGACGACAAGCCTCCGGGATCACGCTTAGTGACCGTGACTGTAGGTGGCGCCCCGCTAGATGACGACCGAGAATACATGGTAGGTGCACAGGCGGCTATGTGTGCGATCCATATGTATGTAAGGAGGTGTTTTGTACTATGCAGTACTATGCAATGTAATGATATGCTGTACTATGCAGTACTATGCAATACTATGCTGTACTATGATGTACTATGTACAGTGTGCGATCCATATGTATGTAAGGAGTTGTTTTATAATATGCAATGCAATGATATCCAGTACTATGCTGTTCTATACAATATTATGCTGTACTATGCAATTCTATGCAATACTATGCTGTACTATGCAATACTATGCAGTACTATGCAATACTATGCTGTACTATGCAATGCAATGATATGATGTACTATGTTGTGCTATGCATCTGTATAGCTCACTTCCGCTGGCGCGCGAATGGATGGGTCGTGCATTGTTCTAGTGTTTATAACAATCCCAAATCAAAAGAAGTACGTGTGCCTGTGTGAAGTTGTACCTTGCGGATATTCAGAGCAGTACACTGAAGTACTCCCAAGTGACTGACAATGCGGGTACATGCCAATCCACGAAGTGAGATGGTACATTCCTTGAACGAGTTTTGAGCCTTAGGATTCTGTGATAGTCACAGGACCCTCAAAGAATAAAGGGGTTTTTTTCTGACCTATCTATATGAAATGACGTGCATATCATACATACGTGGGAAACCTAACTCAATCAATAACTTGTGCACTCGCAGATGGTCATATCTATCTTCATGTACCTGGGAGGAGACGGCAACGAGCCGTGGACCAAAGGCGAATTGATAGCGAATGACAACACGCCCATCAGCAAATCATTAATCGCACACTTGAAAACCCTGGAGGTTTTCGATGCCAATATTAGCGGGCGTGTTAACCTACTGCACAAGCATCATTAGTTTACTAGATTTGTAACCTCTGTCCCACCGTAGTTTTAAATCAAAAAACGTGATATAGAGTAGAAATCTAAACGGGAGACCTGTTGCAACTGTACCTCAAGGTCACGTCGAATTAGCAAAATATGACTCAGATTTTACCACTTTGGATTGACTCGCTCCGGGCTTCGGTGATTTACATTATGTTTCTAATAGCAAACTGACTGCTCAGACCTGATGAACGTGATTCTGCACTGGTGTGCGTTCTCAAGTTGCTCTTGATCTTTTAGTTAGCACTGGTGAGTACATGCCGGGATCGGCTAGTAAGCTTGTATACGGATCTCATTCTCTGTGCTTTTTCTTTGCTCCGGACTTCTCGCATTGAGTGATTGTACGTCAAACGCAGCCACAACACATGAGGACAGGAACACCCCCCACACCCACCCCTTTCCCCCCGAGAGGTTGCATTAAAAGGATCAAACTCCCACACTGGTTTTGTGGGGGAAATGTGGTGGTGGTTGGTCACGATGCAACGCTGCTAGCTGCTAAACGAGCTTCAGTAGATTATAGTGGACCTTTAGGATCGAACATATCATTTAAGATTAAATCTAGTGGCTCAATTTTTCAATCGGTAGCCTTAAATGCAATAGCAAAGGATATATCATTAGGGATACTAGTTTTGCTTACAAAATTTTCGATTCTAACTGTTACTCACGAGAGCGGTCGTGGTTTGGAAACTTGAGAACTGTATGACGAGTCCCATTTTGAAAGGCACACATAGAATATCGTCAGTGACAAGTAAATATCATGCATCATGAACAAAAAACAAGAGACTTAGTGGACAAATTTGTTCGAAACTGTTCAGGTGTTGGTTATAATTGTCAACCCGGAAAGCGTATGCTCACCAACATTCTCCAGCTCTAGGCTCTAGAGTCCTGTCCTTTCCGTGCCAAATGTCAGTAGTTCGGAACCAAATCAATTTACATGTTGCAGTCAGCCGCAACAGTATTAAACTGATACATCGACACGCAAGTATGGTGTTGCTCACGAATTTTTTTAATCTCAAACTTGACACACTAAACCGTTGTCAACATAGAAGTATTCTTTGTTATCAGTGTCATCTCGTATGTCAT